ACCCTCGACGTGATCCAGCCCTTACTAGCGCTTCCCCGCGATTCCTTCGCGTCTTTGAAGCGAGCCATGCTGCGCTTCGAGCATGACCGGAGAGGATCTGCTGCTTCTCGTCTGTGGGAGATGTTCTATGCGTCGCCTGCCCTTCGGACGGTGCAGTTATCTTACATTCGCATGCAGGCACCTCCGTCGATTCTGCGACAGCTTACCCGTCTCGGCGTGAACGTTATCGGATCGGACGAAGTGATGGACCTTCTTCGAGCGTGCCCTCAGCTCGAAATCTTTCAGGCCATAGTTCAACCACCGTCGCACATATTCCCAGGCATCGAGGATGGCTACCTGATACCCATCGTGCCTACACCCATCGTTCTCCCTCATCTGCGTGTGTTGATGCTCAGCGGCTTGTACGATTGGTCTCATTTCTTCGAGGGCCTCGCGGCGCCTCGCCTGGACCGACTCGACATGAATCAAACCGGGATACAGGCCGATGCGGTCCAGGGCATGCTACAACGCTCCTGCGCGCAGCTCCGTATGCTCGCTCTGCGAAGCATTTACGCCGGGAATGATAGCGAGATCGTGGCTCTCCTTCGATGTGATGAGCTGAGGCACCTGGAGATCCTTCGTCACGTTCCCTATGAAGGCTATGATGATCCACCGGACCTCTTCGACCCTTCGCCATACTTACCACCTGGAATAGCGTTGGTTACTAGAGCATACGAAGAGGCAGAAAATGCGTATCAATCCATGCGACGTACGTAAGGCAAGTGAAGGCTTCTACTTAAATAAAGAGATATTGTGACATGTACTATTCTCGACAGCTGGATTCTGAGAAATCTAACCACCAGCCACAACGGATAAATAAATTCATCAAAGCAATAGGGCAATCTGGGCCTGTAACGGTGAGACGTAGATCCTCGGTTGCAGTAGAAGCCGCCTGAAAGTAAGGAAAAAGCGTCGATGGATCATCCGCAATGACATGCATGGCACGCGGAAATCGGACATCCCGTGGTGGCAGCAAGCGACTGGCCTGCGTGGGTTCGACACTCCCACGTCCGTTGCGAAAGTCAAGGATAAGAGAATCCAGACTCTTCGACCGGTGTAAGAGCCCAAACAGTTCGGGGGTGGACATGCACACCATGATATCCAGCTGCCGCAGACTATGCAGAGGGAAGAACAGGAAACGGTGTACTGATATGTCGCCCTCCATGCGAAGATATCGGAGTTGAGTGAACGCGTCTCGGAATGCCCCAGGGTCCAGCTGCTTGACGTGGGTATATTCATCAGCCATGACGAGCTGAACCATGAAGAAGCAGCGCAAGTAATCCTTTAGACAGATCATGACCCTCGACAGTGTATCGCGAGAGCTTTTATCCTGCGGTTGACCAATACGCAGGTAGAGCTGCGTGAACTGCATCTTACGGGCTTTGCAGTAACCCGGAAGTCCCGCGAGAGCGGCCTCGAGGTCGCCGTAGAAGAGCTCTGTACAGCCCTCGACTTTCCGATGCGTGCCGACGTCAATGGCGAGCCGCAGACCTCCCGCGCAAGCCAAGCTCGCCTTTCCCACTCCCACGTACGTGGGGATGTAGTCTTCGTCAAAGACGGCCTCGGTCTGCAAGTGGGGATGCGAGCCCTCGACGGTTGTGTTCTCGATGTCGGACGAACGCGCAGCGAGGTTGGAGGATGCCGCAGTTGGGAGGGATGCAGTTGCGGTTTCTTGGACATCGAGCGCCTGCTCGACTGCAGGACGAATAGTCAAGCCCGTGGACGAGGGGATAGGTGCCGAGATCACGTCTGCCCGCGGAGGCAAATCATTGTAAGGCTCCTCGACATCCTGCTCGCCCAAGTCAACATCGAAATCGCATGTGCTTGTTGTTGCTTCCGGATAGCGGACGATGGTCACTTCAGACGCCATCGACACTGGCTCCCGACTCGGTCTTTCGACATTAGGGATAGCAGGAAAGATGTTCTCCTGTCTTCGTCCCGACCGTATGGTACCCGCAACTCCTGCAGCTGTCGTCCTCAGTGAGGGTAGGGGCGTCCGCTCGGCTTGGTCAGGAGCGGGCGTCATGACGCTGCCATAACCATACGTTGACGATTCGAGGCTAGCGTCCAGCGCGGGGTAGCTCGGGGAGTTGGCGTGAGTTTGTGGCCAGCTGATCCGAGGTCCGGGCAGACGGAGTGGAAGCATCGTCGATGCGTGAAGGTCCTGTGTGTTGGGGTCCGGCGGCTGTTGACGATCGCGCGCCTGACCGCCCCAGTATTGTGCATTCTGGCGGCGAAGAGGACGGTGACCAGCGGGGGGCCACGATGACTGGTCTTGATCTAAGAGGGAGTGTTCGTTGTCGTGGCGGAATCCTGCCGCTAAGCGCCTGAAGCGCGAGCGGACCCTGCAGTAAAGGCCATGGTGGTCTTCGATTGGTTCGGGAGATGAGACCAGATGGGAGGCATACACAGGGCCAGCCTGCGTAAAAACGCTGTCCTGAACGGAGACGTCGCAGGACTGTCCTGTCGAGCGAGGTTCAAGCCGTCAGTCAAACCTTCGCGGTATATTATGGCCACGAGCACTCACTGGTTGAGGTCATAGTGAAATCTTCTTCAGCTAGATCACTATCGTGAAGAGGGACGTCACGGGATCGTTCTGTCGAGAAGGATGACGCTGGTGAGATATCAGCAAAGCGTTACATATGTGGCGAAGGTCACTCACTGCTAGAAGGCATAACGGTACAGTCTTCACTGCGAGTGTCGTGGAGCGCGTAGATTCGTCAGTAAGAGACGTGAGGCGTAACTGAAGCGTCCGGAAGTCGTAAAGGAGAATCGTAGGTGCAGAAGCGAGGTCGACTCGCCGACCTTAAAAAGCCTCTGAGATGATGCTTTGTTCATTCACGCATGTACATAGTAATTCTGTACGGATGTGGTTAGTAGAAGCCGGCGGTCGGTGAGACACATGCTCCGACCTTTCAAATTTCAATCCTGAAGGGAACAATGGCATGCCTTGTTCAGCAGTCTCATGGCGACCGGGTTCTCACCGTCCGTGAGAGCCTTCCTTGTAGCATAGAGAAGGAACAAGGAAGTTCCTCTTGTATAACAAGCGTGCCATACTTCCAGAGTTATAGACCATAGTGACTGCTTGAGGGGTGAGCGCAGCTGCGCCAGCGAATGCAGCCAACTTGCAAAACCGAAGTATCGGGCCCAACCGAAGAAACCTCCGTTCGACCAAGATTACAGGGCTTCACGGTGAGGCTGAGGATGCATGGCAAAGTCTTGGACCTCAAGTGCTCGTGATCAAGTCCTATTCCGCACATATCGATTCCTCGAGATGGTGGTCGAAAAACAAGGAGACAAGCAAGGAGACGCCACAAACGCCCAAAGTTGATTCGGCCACGCGGCCCGGTCTTCCGCTCTTTTCTCCCATCCCCTCACTCGCGAACGGCCAATATCACGACGATGGCCGACATACCCCCCGCGCCGCCGCCGCTGTCGGCACCGACGATGGCTGCGCCTCAGCCGGTAGTGCCCATGCAATCTGCCACCGCTCCCGCACAGTCCGCGGAGCCCGAGTACGCGTGCGAGACGCTGTACATCCAGAACCTCAACGAGAAGATCAAGGTCGACGGTGCGCGTCCATCCATTTTCCCTTTGCTTGTTTGCTGATCATGTGGTCCTGATCTCTTCTTGAATGCTATGGTGGCTTCTCCCCATGTAGTGATGAAGCAGACCCTGCGAGCGCTATTCAAGACGTATGGCGAGGTCCTCGATGTTGTCGCGCATCGCAATCTGCGCATGCGCGGACAGGCGTTTGTGTCGTTTGCGGACGTGGATGCTGCGCGTCGTGCCGCGCGAGAGGTACGTGGCTTCCCACTCTACACGAAGCCCATGGTGCGTTGCGTTCTTGTACTGTACTGAACTCGATCGCTGATCGACGTGCACTGGCAGCAAATATCCTTCGCGCGCACGCGGTCGGATGCGGTTGTCAAGCGGGTCGACGACTCTTCCTTCGATGAGCACAAGAAGCGGAGGGAGGAGCACAAGCGTGCGTTGTCTGCAGTGGATAGTGTAGAGTATCGCTGACGCGGCTTTCTAGGCAAGACGCGGTACTCGAATCCTCTCAAGCAGAAGCTCAAGGCCAAGCGGATGGCTCTTGCGAGTGCGTGGCTCTCCTCATATCGATGGATGGTGAAGTTGATATAGAACATTGCAGGCGACGGAGTATCCCATCTCCCCGCGACGCGGAGGCCCAATGTCCTCATGCCGGACGAGTACCTGCCACCGAACAAGATTCTCTTCTTGCAAAACCTGCCCGAGACGGTCACGAAGGACCAACTCTCCGCGCTCTTCTCGCAGTGCGTATATCTCTCCATCGCTGCTCGCTCGACTGTTGGTAGCTTGACTTCAACATATGTTGCTGACACGGTGTGCCTAGATACCCCAACCTGCACGAAGTGCGTATGGTGCCGACGAAGAAGGATATTGCGTTCGTGGAGTATTACGACGAGGCGGCGGCGACCAATGCGAAGGACGGGCTGCACAACTACAAGATGGACGGGGAGAACAAGATCAAGGTGAGTGCCGTGGTCTCACACTTCGGTATCCTTGACCTTCTCTTTTTGAACTGGCACTTCTCCTTGTCTGTCACTCATTCCTCACCCTTCTATCACGTCCGCGCCTACATATACAATTGTGTCGACAATTGCTCTCGCACTAAATGGCACACTGTCTCTGCTTCCTGCCTCGTGTTTCAACCACGCGCACGTTTGCTGACGTCCTTCTCCAGATCACATACGCCAGAAAATAGGCGCATTTCATCTTTGTCGCGTTGTATGGGTTGTTGTATCATAGTGTTTGTTCAATCTTCTTGCACGATACTGTTCAAGCATGAGGCGCGCTTGCGCCATGCATGCTGTCGCTTGATTGCTGTGCATAGGACGTGGTGTCCAGCTCTTTGCTCCGCTTCTCTTCGTCGTCGTCCAGGCAGCCAGAGGTTCGCTCCACGCGTGGCCGTTCGACCTTCCTTAGCTCAGTTGGAAGAGCATCAGACTGTAATTGGATAATATCTGGGGGTCGCCTGTTCGAACCAGGCAGGAAGGAGTCGTCATCTGAGGCGTGGCTTTTTTCTTTCGCCTACGGACGACGACTGGTCGACGGTCTGAAGCTTTCTTGAAGTCAAGGTTTGAAAGTGTGCCGCGTACGTCCGGTCACTGAGCCACTCCTGTGCGTGCAGTATTGTGGTATCTGCCCTTGGTCTTTGCGTTGGCCTCTCTGCACGCACATAGCCTCCGGCACGGGGGTGGCGAGGGGTTGACGGGACTCGGACGCGTGTGCGTACGTCAACCAAATATTTGTTCGTCCGCATTCGTATTTTGGTACTATGAGTCACACGGAAGTTCCAACTTGTCTTTCCGACTTCATGATGTCTTCATGTATTTCCTTGCCAGACCCGTTCAGGACAATTGGACGCTCGATCTCTTAGCTTGTTATACTCCTTCATGTGCATCAAGAGACCTTGTCTTTATAAGAGAAGCAGAAGCTCTTTGCCACGATGAACATCCCTTCGAATCCATTCAGCATCTGACAAGAAGCATATGGTATGCTTCCTCCTTATCCGAGTCCCACAACGTGTAAGACGGCTGGCGACGAACGAGTGTACTCACTACAACAGCACCGCCATGCGATTGGCGACGCTAGGTGCACTCGCTGGAGCAGCCCTCGCGCAGGACTGGCAGACATGGTGCGTGAACTGCCTACCGATGTCGACAAGACCTGATGCAAGCCTGACAGGTGCGGCAAGCATTACGAGAATGGATCCCCAATCGTTCCGCCTGGGGGACGGTTTCCTGAGCCAGTCAGCTCAGAGACACCGCTGGTCGCGGTTCGCTGCGCGCAAGCGATCGCACCTTACCTGCCTGAAGACGCGGGCTCGGACGACGTCTCTGTCCTCATCGACCTCCCGGTGCGCTACTACCAGATCTCCGGCGCTGCAGCTATAGACCTCTCGAACGCAAGCACGATGTCTGTCACCGTCAGCCTGGGCGACACTATCCTTGCCACTGGCGAAGTCCCGCTGAATGCGACCAAGCATGCACTCCCCTTCTCTCTCTCCGACCTGGAGCCATCGAGCCAGCCGCGCACGCTTACTTGCCGCGCGACGTATGAAGACCAAGAGTACACCGGCACCACATCTCTGGCGTACCTCCCTGCACCCGACGTAGGCTCAGTCACCAAGATGGACCGCCGCACCGGCGCACTCCTCGCACGGCCTGCGAACGACAGCACTGGCGCGTACGCCCCCGTCGTGCCCGTCGGCTTCTACACTATCTACGGCGACTACCTTACGAATGATCCCGTCGGCGTCGCCGCGAATCTCAGCGCGCAGGGCCTGGCGCTCGTGCACCCCGTGCCGACGTTCGACGACTCCCTCGAGGCGGTGCTCGACGCGATCGAGGCAGCGGGCCTGTATCTCATGTACGACATGCGCGGCACGTACAGCAACGCGACATCGGTGGATGAGCAGGTGCGCGCGGTGCGGGGGCGCAAGAATCTGCTGCTGTGGTATACGGCAGACGAGCCGGACGGGACGTCGGATGACCTGAACGCAACGGTAGAGGCCCGCAATCTTATCACCGGGTTAGACGGTGGGGACGGAGAGGGTGGGGTTGGGTACCATCCGGTATCGTTGGTGCTCAACTGCCAGGACTACTACTACTCGGAGTACACGGCGGGCGCGGACATAGTGCTACAGGACGCGTATACGATCGGGAACAACGTGCGTTTTGTGAACCATGCTTCTTCGTTGTCTCGGCTGACCGTCTTTTAGGTCACCTACTCCACGGTCTGGGACACGGCAAGTCCATCACATCGCCTGCTTTGCGTATGCGCAGACTGATGCGCTATTCTTTCAGGTTTGTACCGAGGACTACGGCGATTGCGGGTGAGAGCGTCGGTCGCCCCTCGGGTCGCAAAGTATCTGACTGCATAGCTTGGCAGCTGCGATAATTGCAAAGGTCAGGACCCAACATGTCGAAGTGGCATTCAGCTCACCCTCATTACAGGCTCTTTTGTCGATATTGCAACGCGTCTCGACCAGTTCCGTCAGCGGAATTTCATCAATGGCTGGGATCTGACCAAATCCCTGTGGACCGTACCTCAGGCTTTTGGGAATGAGTCGTACGTGCATTCTCACGTCCAACCTATCTTTCTCCAATCGAGCGCCCTTCTGCTTCTGTATCCCAGCGAGGCTGACGCCGATCCAGCTACTGGCCACGGTATCCTACCGGCAAGGAGTTCCTCGTCGAGAGCATCATCGGCATCAATCACGGTGCGCTCGGTACGCGCCCTGAGGTCCCCTCTCACGTACAGCCCTCTGATCTTACTTTAGGCGTCATTCCATGGGACGATCCTACCCCGGACGACATCAAGCAGGCGGCGTCCATGCTCGCGCGTGCCATGCCGTCTATGCTGCCCTACCTCGCAAGCCCGACCTCCGTCGTCGATAGGCGTGTCGTTAATGGTGTAGACATCGCGTTGTGGACAATTGAGGAGCAATCTCGGGGCGTCCAGTCGTTCGACACTGTCGCGCAAACGTGTCCTGGCGCGGGAGATCTCATTGCTGATGCTACATGCGTCGCCACAAACTCTACCCGAAGGACGCTTGTTCTCGCGGCGAATATGGCCTACGAGGAGGCGACGGTTGCGTGGCCAGACCTCGGGCTAGTTCCGGAGGGTGAGGTGGAGCTGGTGTTGGCGAGTGGGACGGCTGTGACAACGGATGGTACGGACGTGACTTTCGAGGCCATAGGTTCGGGTGCGTTCATTGTACCTTCGGGATAGGTTAAATGCTGGAACGTCCGAGACGCGGTTGGTCATGTACTCGTGGCGCAAGCGCGTGCCGTTGGTCTGCGCCGTCTATTGTTCTCTTTTCAGACCTTATCATTGCCTTTTCTGGAACAATAACACGCCGAACCGTCTTAAAGAGCTTGACCGAGCCGGGACTCGTTTGTTCCTCTATGTAAGCGGCCCTCAATTTCACCCTGTCCTTGAGTACCGATTTGCGAATAGGAATGAGCGGTACGTTAGCATCGACGCAACTTATGTGCGCACTACCTGACATTATTTCAGCACCATATATACATAGCCCTCAACCTGTACGGGCGTACCTAATGGCTGCTGAGCCCAGTACACCGACCATGCAGGCAGGTTCGAGTCGAGATCATGAAGAGCAGCGTCGTCGCACTGCGTCCGACGTCGGCCATGGCATCATCAATGCACTCTTTCCGCACGCCGGAAAACGACAACGAGCGCGCAGCCTGCCCAGCCCGACACTTCCAGTCTTCAAGATCCGCCATACCGACGGGCGCCGCTGCGTCCCCGTGGATCCGAGCGACGAGTCGAAGGGTACCCTTGTCAGATTCGGCGGTGGCACAAAAAATACTGTGTCCCTATCCGCCTTTGCAATCCAGTTGTACAATGAGCAACCCATGAGCTCTCCGAGTCTGCGTGCACCTCGTATCGCCCCCGTTCCTTTACCCGACGCATCCGCCAAGAGCCTATCAGCTGGATCCTCGGCCACGAATATACCCCGTGGCTCAAATATCGAACATGACACCTCCGCGCCTGCTATCCCCTCCACTCTCAGTCCGGTCGACCTGCCCGATCTGTCGACTTTCACAATTGTTAGGTCGAAGGTGATGGACTGGACCTTGGTGTCTGTCGACCGCCACAATATGGATTCTGGCACCCATCTCTGCATCACTATCGGCGCGAGCGAGTCCCACACGCCGCAGGGCAGACACGCGATGCTTCGGGATCTCGAGCCGTTCGACGTCGCCATGAAATCAATAACACGCCTGGACATACGGTCACTAGTGCTACTCGAAGTCGTCGTGAACGAGCCTCGGGTGCATGGAGGCCCACATGCGGGCCAGGACGCCTTGCTGGTGGTACTGGAGCACCTCGTGTCGCATCTATGGTGCATCTCGATCTTGTGCATCTTCTCTCAAATGGATAGCGCTACGAAAACAGGTGATTGCGTGCGTGCGGAAGCACTCAAGAACCGACTCGTCGGCCTTGAATGCCTCATTCTGCATGGCGAGGCGTCCCTCCCACGCGCAGCAATGTTTCTTTCGGATATGGTACAGGACCTCGTTTTCGACATGCCTCTCTCGACTCAGGACCTGATAGAAACTCTCCAGAAGGTACACGGAGGACTCAAAAGTGTCCTCGTCACTGATCTGCAGGTGGGCCCCGTCGTCATTCCTGCTGGCATGACTTTTCCGTCACGTATGGATTTGATCACCACGAATGCCTGCGATCCAGACATGATGAAGCTGCTGTGGGCTGTGCCAGAAGACACCGTGCTCTACCTCACAGTAGTCGGTCGAGTCTGTCCCGAAGTAGTCAGTACGGTGTTCGCCTCTCATGTACAGTGGTCGCTGGTATACCGTCCCGGTTCGATCATGACGGAGGTTGCGCCATCGCATTGGTAGTACTTTGAAAATGTCTCCGAATGCAGAAGGATGCCTCGAGCCTGCTTGCTTGACTTCAGCTGCCAGGCGGCAACCGACAGGTTGGCTATTGTTTTGTTTCTGCCAGCCGTGCTGACCGACGTCCATGAAGATTACAGCCGGACATATTCCCCATTTCTTGGCCAGCGTTGCGCGGACAGTGCACTTTGTGCTCACAGTACCTACCGCGGATGCGGCGGTCGGCGTGCAGGCTTTCCGACCGCGTTATTATACCTTCATGGACTCTGATCGTTGACCCCACCATCGTACGGCTCCGCTAGTGTATCAAGACAACATATGTATGCTATACGAAAGCGATAGATTGCAGTTCTGTACAAGATATGAGAGTCTTATGTAGGGGTATCATGTTTGTCCTCGACAGACTCTCTAATATAATGACCGCCGCGATCCCACCATTGCTTCTCCGCAGAGTCCAGTTGGTCGATGTCCGCATCCCTGATTTCAGAGATGTCTTCGAACGGAGGCATGATGATCGACTGGAGCTCGTAGCCCGCGTAGTGAACTGATAACGAGATGTACATCTGACGGCGAGGCAGTCCGTTTGTCTGCTCCGTGCTTCGAGCAGCG